GCGAGCCACATCCAGCATCAGAGTCTTCCTACAACACACACAAGTCAAGTCAAGTCAAGTCACCTTTATTTATATAGCGCTTTTAACAATACAGATTGTGTCAAAGCAACTGAACAGCATTAATTAGGAAAATAGTGTGTCAATAATGCAAAATGACAATAGTAAACACTAATTTTTCAGTTAAAGGCAGTTCATCATTGAATTCAGGGATGTCATTATCCAGCTCGGTTCAGTTTAAATAGTCTGTGCAATCAAGTCAACGATATCGCTGGAAATACCCGTCCACCGCCGCCTTGTATTGAGAAACACTTAGAATGAGACGAGCAGCAAACCTGGACAAACACAAGAGACAAACACCGATTTAACCTCTAATTCAATCAAAGAGTCCGACAGAGATGGAAACATCTTACATACACCCTTCAATCTGAGACTCGTTAGAAAACCTCATTCAAGACGACCAGAGACACCTGCAAACAGTGGTCAGATCTTACAGAGCAAATCCAGCTCTGTGCTGTCACGAAGTCATCATACGGCAAATAAAGTGTATAATAAATAAATAAACACAAACGATTCCTTTTGTGTTTGTCTCATGTTGAGCACTCACATACTTACAGTTTTTTTCAACTGCTTACACACTGCATCTTCACTTGTCACACAGTTTCTGAAAGCTGACACTCAAACAGCAGAAGCACACACCAAATCTACAAAACCAGACACTAATTCTCAGACTTTGACTTTCATAAATCACTTTTTGCAAAACACAACACACAGTTCTCGATGTAACACACACAAATCTAACAGGAATTAATATTATGGCAAACGTGTTTGCAAATGTTTGCTTTTGAGATGTGTTTGTGATATTTTGAATGCAGTGCTTCATTTTGCATTTGTGTGTAAAGTTTTGGAAAAAGAGGCAAAGTTCTGAAAATGTGTGAAAGCAGCTGAAAAAAAAACTCTGTGTAGAGAGCCACTAATATTAAATAATAAACAGACTGTAGTCAGTACTGTGTTGAGCAGTGATTCACGATTTTGTAGACTCACACAGAGAGGAGATGCAGAAAATATAGACCAGATGCTGCTGTATGATCTTCAGTGACGTTATATGTGCATTAATTAATTAGTGCTCTTTATTTACTCACACCAGAGACTCTTTAATGTCTCTGAAGGATTGTTTGGGGAAAACCAGCGCAGGACTGGAGTTCACGGGAAGCGCCAGTCTGTTCTTCAGATACATGTCTTCCAGCCAGAAGTCGAACACCTGAGACAAACACAGCAGAACCATCAGCTCATCATTTCCTAAGCTCTAATTAAACTCGTTCGAGGCGAGAAGCTACACTGCCTTTGAAAGAGAAAGAGAGACAAAGACACAATAAAATATTATTTTAGTAAAGTGCCATTATTTAACAAGTGCTGCTGTCACATTAAAGCGGTGATGTTTCCTGGCAGACGGATCAATAGCCACAGATCAGTTGCTCATTATTTTTCTTCATCTGTTTTAAAGGGACTTTAATAATAAATCGGTGCGTCCGGAGGTGCACACTGGGCTCAGTGTGTTAACTGCTCTGAACGCCGGCCGTTCCTGTAACAGCTCAGGGTTGAAGCTCTGTAAGTGTGTTTGTACCCAGTTCTCGGTCTTTTCTCTTTTCTCCAGCAGCAGTTTCTGCAGTCTTTCTCCAGCACCTCCGTGTTTGCCGAACGTCTCCACTATAGCTTTGGTCTTCAGGAACTGCGTTTCAGGAACGAGGTGTTTGACGGATCTCAGGTAGGCGTCCAGTGTGTGCTGCAGGTCCGGCACAGGCAGTTTGAGCAGCATCTGGACAAGAGAAGAAGAATGGTATTCATCACAGTCCCATAGAGATGATTTCTCAAAGAGGCTGTTAGACAGGACCGTGTTTTCCAGCGGCTCTGCCCTCCGGTGGAGGAGCATTAATGAGTCAGTAACTGTTGAGTCTCTCTGATGTCTTGTGTTATCAGCTCTTGCTTTAATAATTTATAGGAATAGCTTTAAGACAAATGGAGAAATGATTTTAAAAGCCTTTCCTGCTGGTCAAAAATACTATTTTGATTAACAAAATGCAAATGGTGCACCAATATGGTTCAGAAACAGTATCTCACAAAATATTGTTCAGCTCTATTAATTAAAGCAGATTTTCTAGCTTTAGATTTACCTGTTTTAAAATAGTAGAAAAGGTAAATTTTGTTATGTTTTGTATGTGCATCCTAAAAATCCTATGTGTATGTGTGAAATTTGTTTTCAATCTGAAGAAAAAATCTACAACAGTAAAATCAGATGGCAGCTGATGTGTGTCTGTGTTTCTTTCAGATCTTTGGACAAGAACTAAGCTTTTCTCCTCTGAAGATGAGACTCAGCTGAAAACAGTCGTGATGTTATATCAACACTATAGCTCTAGGGTAAGAAGACTTCTTTTGTCTTTTTGGTAACAGCAGCAACAATCATAGCAATATTTATTTGCTTACATTGCAGTGGCTGTGGGCTTCGGCTGTTTCTCTCTTCATCTTGAGTTTCTCTGATGTTAGGTTCCTCAACACTGCAAACTCTGTCCTGTGGAGACTGTCCAGCACCTCTCAACATTACCCTCAGACAGAAACATCCTTACTTCTGAACTCTATCAGGAATAACCACATGCAATGGACACTCTGTCTATCAGATAATATTTGGACTCATTTCTATTTCAGCATTGTTTTAGTGTGATGGATGGAGCTGAACGCTTGCTCAAAGTTCATCAGAGGTGGGAGTCATTATTTACCCAATTCAAATTTCCATTCAATTTGAATTGATTGCTCAATAAAATTGACTAAACAATATGAAAACAGACGCTAATGTTGCGCTTGAAGTGTTTTACAGTCGTTGCAGACAGAGACGCTCCTAACCTGATGTTAGGATTAAACAATAAACGCAGCATTGAGCTACAGGTACAGCCTTCAACACACACGCAGATCTGATAAAAACATCACATCACTTTATTTGCTCTTATTTAAAAAAATAAATAAATCTTAGAATCAACAATGACAGCTTGAATCAGGTGTACACTGACAGAACTACAGTATTTGTTCATAAACTGTCAAATACTAATCAACTAATTCAATTAATTGAAAATTCTTCCTTTATAACTTGTGTAAGTTCAGCAGAATGAATGAGCTGATGTATAGCTCACCTGTGTGATCGGTGTCTGTGTCTCCGGCGGCGCGTCAGCTGTCTGTCAGCCGCTCTGTGGCTCCAGTGTCCGGTCTCCGGTGTCCGTGACTCCGCCCCCTCGCCCGTGACTCGCGCTGAGGTCCTGCAGGTGTTTCCAGAGCTGCTGCTTTCTTCTGTTCCACCAACGTATTATGCTAGACAAAATATTTCATGCTCTTTACCTATAGCTTTTTTTTTTTTAAGAAAATCTGGTTTGTATGCAATTAGAACACATACTTAAGTAAATACTGATTAATAAAGATTATTTTCATCATATAAAATGATGAACAGTGAATCGTTAATTTTTTTCGTTGTGTTGATTGCACAGATACTATTTAAACTGAACTGAGCTGTGCTGCGTTTCCCAAAAGCTTCGTAAGCCTAAGAAGTTCGTAAAAACGATCGTACGACTGATCTTAATATTGCGGTCTGTTTCCCAAAAGCTTCGTAACTTAAGTAGCACTTGAATATCATCGTAGATCTACAGTGCTGTGGAGTAATCTCAAAGCCCTCAGTGCACCGTAAGAAGACAGATTTATGCGGTCACCTGCAGGACAGTCAGCAGATTACACCTTTAACTTTATTCAAGTGCAATGTGATTATAATATAACGTTTTGATTGTACTTTATTGTACACTTTAATACTCGTTTTTATGAATTTATAAATGAAATAATTAAAAAGCGCAGGAAAAAATTAGAAATACACATCTAAATTAAATGACTGAACAAAAAATGAATAAAAGAAGTAATGTAGGAAATTGTATTATTATTATTATTATGTAAAGTATAATATTATACGTATAAATATAATATAATATAATAGTTATTATAACCGAGTTGTCTGGAACGCAGCATTAGGTTAGCATTCAATAAACGAGCGTTTACTACAATTACGAGCCATTCTACAAGGCGACATTTCAGCACTTGACATGGATAGCGACTCCTAAGAAGCACTTAAAGCACAGCTGCGTGCGATTGCGGTAAGTGCACTTTTGGGAAACGCACGTGAAACAATAACGAACGATCGTAAAATGACTCGAAGAAAACTCTTAAGCTCTAAGATCGATCGATATCGAGAAACGCAGCCCAGGATGATGATAATCACTGAATTCAATGATGAACTGCCTTTAACTGAAAATTGAGTGTTTACTATTGTCCTTTTGCATTAATGACACATTATTTTCCTAATTAATGCTGTACAGTTGCTTTGACACAATCTGTATTGTTAAAAGCGCTATATAAATAAAGGTGTCTTGACTTGACTTGTGTGATGAAAAGAAGCTAACGCTGATAAATAATCTGCAAAATGTATAGGGGAAAGATGCCATTTTTATTTCAGAGCTCTAAGTAATTAAATTGTCTTTATAATTTGCTTATATTTGTTCCCACGTTAACAGGTTATATATTTTGTTTCCATGAAAAGTGATAAAACTCACACGAATCCAGGCGGACACAAAACTCCTCGGCTGTCGATTAAAGATCCTTCTTAGGACTTTTGAGAATTTAAATAAATATAAAAAAACAACAAAAGTTCATTCGTTGCCACATTTATTAGTAGTGATTCAGTCTGTAAAAAGGCACATGTATGGAAATATGACCATTGGTTTTATTTGGGGTTTGAGCAGTTACATCTACACACTTCATCTACTCACATCTTCTACACACTACAGCAGAGACAGTCGCTCAGAGCCAAATGTAATCGTTTCTATCTAAATCATAAAAGACACGTCTCTGAGCGGACAGTCATGAGTGAGGGAATAAATATTGCACACCAGAGCTGAACGATTGCGATATAAACTCTGTAGTTAAGTGAGCTCGGGTCCCGACGATTCCTCCTCCGAGAGAGACCTGGGTGCCTCGAAGAGCCCGTTCTCGGCCACGGGACACACGTCAGCGGTCGTGGTGCACAAGCCCTTTCTCCGGAGTCTGCGCTCCTGCATGCGGATGGAGTCGTAGAGTCCCTTGGGTTCATCCTCCAGCAGTACGTTCCTCTCGGAGCAGGACTTCTTCATCTGGCACACGCAGCGGAGCAGCAGCAGCGCCGGCGCGTAAAGCACATTCACCAGACCCATGCCCAGGTTCAGCTGAACGAAGCCCAGGTTGTGCACGATCTGCCCTGCGACTACAGGCCCCAAAGCGTAGGCGAGAGAGTATGAGATGTCCGCGATGGCATAGACGCTGCCGTAGACGGACACGTGACGCACGTCCACCAGGAAGGCCAGCGTGGGCAGCAGCGCCGTGTCCACCAGCGCGATGCCGAAGCAGACGCCGCACAGCGGGAGCATCAGCTGGCCCGGGGTCCTGCAGGCGGGCACCGTGCAGGAGCTGGCCCCGATGATCACCATCCCCAGCGCGCCGTAGAACCACTGCAGCTCTGGGTATTTGGCGGCCAACCGGACGGTGACGTAAACCCCGAGCACGTGCGGGAAGAAGGCCGGCAGCCAGATCAGACCCATCTCCCACTTCGAGGCGTTCATCGTGCTCTCCATCCAGCTGGAGATGGTGGGCTCCAGGAACGCCAGCGGGATGTTGCAGACGGTCAGCGCACCCGCCACCACGGCGATGTACGGGTCCGTCATGAGCCGGTAGATGGGCGTCCCGACCGGCATGTTCGCGCGCGTGCCGTTAGAGAACGGTCTGATCACGGTCAGCAGCAGAACGCCGTCCGCCAGGCACACCGAGGCCAGAACTATGAACGGGACGCGTTTCCCTGCGAACTCGTACAGGACTCCGCCGAACGGAGGCGCCACGAGGCTCCCGAACGAGATGAAGGCGAGCGCGACGCCCAGCGCGCGGCTCCGCTCCGCTTCCTCCGTGTATCTGTCCGCGATCATCGCGATCCCGGAGGTGTCTGCGAACGCCGAGCCCAGACCCTGCAGGCTGCGCGCCGCGAACAGCGTCCCGTAGTTGTCCGCGAACGCGAAGATGCAGGTGGAGACGAACATGACCAGAAGCCCGATCAGCAGCGGGATGTCGTACCCCACGCGGTCGATGAAGGTGCCCGATAAAGGGCTGACCATGAGCTGCAGAATGGCTTTGGAGGCGAACAGCACCCCGATCTGAATGTCCAGATTGTTCGGGTTCGCTCTGCTCACGGAAGAGTTGGCAAGAGTGCGCGCCGCCTGCTCGGTCTCCAAATCCGCGAGATAGTCGGGGATGATGGGAACGATCACCATGTAGAGCATGTTGTCCAGCAGAAGCGCGACGCAGACGATCACCAGAATGAGCTTTCTCTGCCGGTTGGGGTCTTGCATCGCGCTGCCGAGCTGTTTAGTTCTTTCGCCCATTTCGGACAAATTTAGGGCGGCAGATTTCGCCACACCGGCAGAGCCGTCAGACTCCATGACTGTCTAAAAGCCCGTTTAGCTCAAGAGAGCTTCAGTCCTTCAGAGCGCAGTTTCATTCCTCTCCTGCGCAGCGACGCGTCTGGCTTTTACGCACGAACTTCCCCGGTGTCCGGCGCGTCTGACAGGTGACGCGCTACTCTTCTCTCTTCGAGGGTACAGCCCTGAGCGTTTCTGCATGTCCACTTCTGCTGAGCTTCTTTCCATTTACATTCCTGTTACGCGCGCAGTGGTGGTTCACATCAGTTTTTCTTCCATCAGAAGCAGCAGACTCGCTGTGGGCACACACTCTGTGCCACGGTCAGTTTCCTCTGATTTCTCTCCTCTGGTCATCAGCTGCGTCCGTCTGCTAATCCTCTGACTGACCAATCAGAGTCTTGATCACATATCACAAAAATACTACTACACCAGACCAGCTCTTATTCTGTTCTCCAAACACCGAAAACAAGATTCGTCCTGCATCGCGTACTCGTGTCTAAATGACGTCTGCTAACAAACCCCAATCTGTTTGCTGCACAAATACACGAATAACAGATGTATAAATAACTCATTAATAATCGCAGCGCAGGGACTCAGTCAGATCAGGTTAATGTACTCTGAGTTTGGATCAGTTATCATTTAAAAACACACACAATTCAGTGTCAAGAGAATATTCTGATAATAGCCAGTTTGCTATTTTTATTTTTGCTATTTCTATTTTTATGCGAATGTATTTGTGTGAAGGTTAAATTAGGGCCATTATTTAAAGGACGAAAAAATATAATCATCAAGTATTATTTAAATATTTGAATTGACAAAATAACGACAACACAATAACGTGATATCACCTTTTGGAAAGCATTTGGGAAAATATTAAAACAAGCCAACGTTCGTTCCCCTGTCTAGTGTTCTGTCTACAGATGATTACAGTTTTTTACGATTGCTTACACACTAAAATGTGATTCTCCATGTTGACTGATTTGGGTATATGGAGAGAAATCAATGATATTTTCGTCAGTCTGCAGCATTGGTCTTGTGTAGTGTTTGGTGAACTATTGTATAGTTGCAGTTTCTCTGTGTACTTCATTTACAGTACTCTAATCACTGAGAATTAGACTTGCTAAAAGTGTTTTAGGTTAGCAACAGCAGTGTGTAACTGGTTCAAAAAGATTAAAGTCATATGAAATGTGTGTGTTTCGTATGGTAACAAAATATTGTTTTTATAAAGTTGTGTATAGTTTTGACAAAAGTGTTCCATTTTGCAAATGATCTGAAGTGTTGTGCTACTTTGGTGTAGGGTTGTGTTAATTGTGTGTAGTGTTTTGACAAACCGGGCCCTGTTTTCAAAATTGTGCTTAAGCAATCGTAAAAAAACTGTAAACAGATTGGTTTACACAGGGGTTAGAATTAGGGACGCTAGGGTCATGTGCCTACCATCCAGCGACTATAGACCCTAGCAATGATTTTGATCAAACAATTAAATACATGTATATGTTCTGGTAATTCGGACGCATCTGAAATATGTCATATCACTGAAGTTAAAGTAAATGGGTTAGAAATCTGCGCGCTTTCGAGGACACACATTTAATACACGGGCGGAGTAACACACACCGCAGGAGAAACGCAGCGCCACGTTTAGAACAACTCACAGCTCAAAACAGTTAAAGTACAAGTTCACTTCAGGAATGAACAAAGCTGTGTCGATGAGAAATACGGTGATTGACAAAACTGAGCAAACGGAAAAAGAAAGCGTGATCTATGGCCATGGCGTGCGGTTTATCTATCAGTCAGGTGCGCATGAATGTTTCGTTACTACAGAAACAGTAGAGTTTTCTTTCACAATCATCCTGGTGGGCCCAATTAGATTAATATTAAAATACAGTTATGCGTGATTAAGACACCCAGCGCTCTGATGCTGCTGTAATGTTGTTGGTTCACAAAATCAAAATTGTGGAATAATTATCTGTAAAACATAGCCTACACGCATAAAAAACTCTCTGTTTATGAATTACGAAATTATGAATATGTTTGCTACCATAAGCTATAAATGCAGAGTTTAGATGACATTAGGGCCCGGGTGTGGCTGCGCTCTTATGTCCCCAAAAGCAAACCTAAGCTCTTGGGTATACAAGTATTAAACTGCAAATGTAAAACAAAACGAACAACGTTTGACGCGCGGATGTGAAGGCGTTAAGCGCGCGTCAGGGCGCGACACTGACCTCTGCTGGACGGATGACAGAGATCATGAGCTCACCTGCACCTCTCACACTGTCATAGTAATGCTTTTGTTTCCGAGAATAATACTGATAATAATTAAACAATAAGATACGCTCTTTATGTGGACTATATTGATAATCATAACTAACTAATGATAACTGAGAGTTTTTCATAGCGGTGTGGATTTAACATACACATATAGCAAGTGATAATATTGATCTATAAGTATATGTGACCCTGGAGCACAAACCCAGTCTTAAGAGTAAATTTTTTAAATTGAGATTTATACATAATCTAAAAGCTGAATAAATAATCTTTCCATTGATGTATGGTTTGTGAGGATAGGATAATATTTGGCTGAGATACAACTATTTGAAAATCTAAATATTGAGAAAATCATCTTTAAAGTTGTCCAAATGAAGTTCATAGCAATGCATATTACTAATCAAAAATTAAGTTTTGATATATTTACGATAGGAAATTGACAGAATATCTTCATGGAACATGATCTTTACTTAATATCCTAATGATTTTTGGCATAAAAGAAAAATCTATAATTTTGACCCATACAATGTATTGTTGGCTATTGCTACAAATATACCCCAGCGACTTAACACTGCTTTTGTGCTCCAGGGACACATATAAGGTTAAGAACTGATATTTGAGTGTTGAACTGAATTAGTGTTAAATTAACTCTTTCTTCTACTCTAGTCTGTAACATGACAATCATATTAGATGCTGCCTAATGAGGTTTAAACCTCAGAATTAAAAATGTCTTTCTATGGTGATCTGCCTGAATACACACACAGTAGTTCAGCACAGCATTGCCCAGTTTGGCCGCTAGATGGCGGTTTCTGATTGAAATAAGCAGATGAATGAAGTCTAACGCACAGATTTGGTTTATGTCAGAGACCAATGAAGACATACACAACACAATATATTACGACATACAGTATATTTCTTATACACCACAAAGTAGTGAAAAATATGAGTTATTTGTTACAGGTGTGTGTTCAGGTGGATGTGGATTGTCTTTTATCAATAAACTTTTATTCCCAATAACTAAAGCAAGTATTATGCATTATGTAACATTTACCTAAATAAAACTAACTGGACTCCTTTACACAGACCACATACACAGATGTCGCTTATTTGTTTCATTAATTGCATTATTCTTGCATCTTACATAACTATAGAATTTTCTCTCCACTGATGGCAGATCTTATTTAAACATTTAATCATAAGAAATTGGCCAGACAATTTTATGTGCAATACAGGACAGAGTCACATTAAAATATCTGAGACATAAATCTGCTTTGTCACAGGAAGTGTTTGTCAGGTTTGCTTTGAGAAACTTCAGAGAAAATCTTCATTGTGATCCAATCTAGAGCTTCAGGGCCGTGTGAAAGTTTCTCTGGAGTGTTTATGCTCTTCTTGTCTATTTAAAAGGCTGTTTCTGAGAAGAGTCAAGAAGTTAATCCTGCTTACATGGTCAGCGGCACCTTAGAGACCGTAGATAGAAACCTGCTGAAACTGCACTGACCCACAAGTGATGTGGAGCAGTGTGTGTGTGTGTGTGTGTGAGAGAGAGAGAGAGAGAGAGGCATTAAAAAATGTACTATTTTTTGCCATGTTCAGTTTTTATCATTTAGCTCATGTTAAATATACCTGATTCCAGGAACTGTGGAGGACTGTGAACGGATAGACGTCAATACATACAGTTCACTCGCATTAAAAGAGTAAGAAAGACAATAAAGGGAAAAAGCTCATAGTGAATGAATGAAAGAATGAACAGACGCTCCTCTTGAGCTCTGCTCTGCTGTGTTTCTGAGGAACAGAGTCGTGTCAGAGTTCAGTCGCTGGGTCTGAGAGTCGCCCGTGACCGGCTGCAGTAAAGCTCTCCTGATCCTCTTTGGTCTTCAACACACGTCAGAAACCCAAATCTACTGATATGAGAGCAGCTCCTTGTGCAGAGGAATTACTGCAGATTATAAAACCCTGGAGAATTTCTAATCCTAAACATGAATGTTAATTAGCCTCCGCTTCGAGATCTGAGCTGGAGACTGAGAAGATCTGTGAACTGTGTTCCTTGAGCAACAGACCGAACCTGTAATAAATGAACGTGGTTTTGAATAAAAGCATCTGCATAAATGAGCATTCGAACTCCTAACTAACACACACAGAGGAATCAGGGCATTTACTGAGTCAGATGACTGTTTGTGAAGGAAACCAGCTAAACCAGTGAAGATGACCATCTGCAAGCCAATCCTTGATCAGAGATTCTAGTGGCGTTCATTCACCTTCATCAGTCCCCTTCTGAGCCCCTAAAGAACCAGTGACAAACTGTCTTGTGCCTCACAGTTTGTTCTGTGGATTAACAATGAAAAGCCCTTTTGTTTTTAGCGGTTCATGCACTGGTCTCAAGCTTTGGTTACTTTTACACATGAATAGTGGATTCTCATGCACTGATCAACAGCAACAGTAAGGCAAGAACAATGAAATGGTGAAATGGTTGTGTCCTGAATGAACTGTGTACGTCATCTCTCACACTCCAGGAAACTGAAATAAGGCTTCATATGTCAGTCTTCAATAAGCACAAATATTTCCAAATGTGTTAGGCACTGATTTGACATATACAGTGAATTACAGTCACATCACGTGTAAACTCTTGCAGACTCGCCTGAATACAACATTACATGGCTAAAGCTCTTTCACTATTTCTTTTTGTCTCCAGACTTCTGCCCGGTGAGGAACTGCCAGACTCCTCCGCGGTAGAACTCGTTACCGAACGCGTACAGGACGGCGTGGAAGATCGGAGATGTCTTCGCCAGCACCGGGAGGACCTAGAGGATCAGACGACCATCATCAACACTGAGATCAACACGAGAACAATGATTTATCAAGCTAATGAAAGATTTTAAAGTGTTTGTTTTCTAACCATTCTGAGCTTTGGTGAAACGAGGTTAACGTTCTCGAAGCAGGCGTATGTGCACATCAGAACATACGGACCCCAGCAGAACAGCAGCGCTTTCAGAGGTAAACCTGTGTTAAACTGAGAGGAGAAGCACTGACACAAGACACCAACACACACCATTCACTGCTCAAATCATGCTTTTATCTACAACATCAAAAAAACAGACCAGAAATCTGACACTTGCGTTACTTTAAACATTCTTCGAAACATTTGGGATAATGTAAGTACACAAGTCAGCAAAATATATAACACTGTTCTAGTGATTTTTGGATATTTTAATAAAAAAATCTTACATATTGTGCCTTTAATGCAAGCAGGGGATCTTAAAGCACACAGAATGCTGAGCATGTGGCTGATCTATGGATGATTCATGTCATTCTCACTGCAGATGAATGTCAGAGACGTGCCTCTCTTCTGCATGTACAGAGTTAAACACAGCCTCATTACAGCCCACTGGTTTAGTTTGCTGCACAAAATGCATCACTGATTATATTCGGGTTATAAAAATTGATAATTGAAATTTACAACATCATAGGGGACAGCAATTACTTAAAATGATAAATTATACACATATATACCAAATGAATTTAAAATATGATTTTTAAAAAAAGTTTTTTTATGAAAAATGCAACGTGAAATCATACTAGGTGACAGCAAAGTTCCTACAGATGACGATACGTTGTGTCTAATTGGAGCGTATGTTGACTAAGGAGAGTGCGAGTACCTTAAAACGGTGTGTCTTTTTGAAATAAGCATAGATGGCATTGTAGGAGGACTGTAAAACCATAACAGGGAATGCTAAATACAGTACAGTGATGGACAGCATGTAGGTGATGTAACTCCTGAAGAAGACAGCAGAGTATACGTATTACTCTTGCATGCAAATTCACATCATGAAATTCAAAATCATCAGTAGTCAAGTCCAGGCAGGACAAACATTATTGTTTGTCCATATTTTCTTAATGTGATTTCTGATTAGTAATGTGCTGTAGTTTTTTATTTGAGTTGTGTGAGCTATGAAACAGAAACTAGAGCGAAGTCTGTTTGTGTTCTCGTGTGTGAGATGGACGCACCGGTCTCCTTGTGTGTAGTCGAGCGTACAGCATGTTTTCATCGGCTCAAAGTCAAAGATGCCCCATCCGATGGCCGGCAGCGGCAGAGCGGCCCAGAACACAGCCAGGATCCAGATGATGGTGCTGATGGTCACAGACGTGCTCCAGAACATCTTCTGCTCTGGAAACAAACACAACTAACTCATTGATTTACAGCCGGTCAGCTGAGACAGTGCAGGAAAGCTGTATTAAAATGACGATAAAACCCACTAAACCCAGGAAAACTACTGAAGAATTGAATGCAAGCCTTACAGAAACAAGAGTACCACTAATGTCTTGCGTGTCAATACTGAACAATAATAAAGTAACATTTTATGGATGGCAGATGTTCTCCATTTATACTCACTAGTACAGTACTGATGATATCTGTCCCAAGCAATGGCAGCCAGAAAACTGATGCCGGCGAGGATCGACACCATTCCCTGAAAACCGTGCATCTGACAGCCCTCCGACCCAAACGGCCAGTATCTTCCAGTGTTCAGAAAAAACACAAATATATACAGGTGTTTGAATATTTATACATACATGTGATATTTCTCATTTTCATATTAAAACTATGTGTTCTTCTGTGTCTAGCGGTTGTATTTCTTTTCTTTCTTTCAAACTTTTGTTTCAAGTCAAATTCCTTGTCTGCAATAACACCAATAAGTTATGTGAGAAATAGTCATCACATTTTTATTTATTTTTGTCATATCTTTTCAAACAATTTTAGAAGTTGCTATTTTCCAAATTTCAGAAGCAAGTGTTCAATTTGGAAAGATTCGGTTCTGGATTCATACAGTAGTTTAGCTGGTTAGTCTCACCTCAGGTAACTAGCGTAAGCAGCCACTAAACCGTTAATGTTGAGGCTCAGATCAGCCACAGCCAGGTTAAAGATGAAGAAGTTATTGGGCGTCTGCATCTCCCGGATTCTGAGGAACGCCATCACCGAGATAAAGTTAAGAAAGAAACCGAGAAGACCTAGAAGAAAATATTGAGATATTCAGACTGAACAGAATTCATAACACTGTGCACCGCATACAAAGAGCAATCATAACAAAACAATATATAATGCTGTTAGAAGAATTACCATGTCCACAGTAACAAGTATCAATAAGCACCACGGTGATCAGATCAGATGCCATCACTGTATGAACATTACACTACGGAACTGACTGTTTTCTTTTCTTTTTTTCTAATCCAGAAACTTTCTACAGATCAATAAGAGCAGCCCTCATTAATCGATAGAACAGCCTTCACTAATCACAGACATAAAGAACTTTTGCATGTTTGTCAATACACTCATCAATGAAGAACAATCCAGCACTGATGAATTGATGGACTGATTGATTGATTGATTGATTGACTGATTATCAGCAGCACTCACCGCCCACCAGCAGCACGGAGCCGAAGGCGAACATGTCGAAGTCACTGAATCCCTCCGGTAACGTGTATGAAGCCATTGTCCAAGATACTTCTCACTGCTGACCACTGCTCTACAGTGCGAGACTTTATATGTGTGTTTATTTCTCAGTGAAAGTGCGTGTGTGATTTAAAGCCTAGTCTGAAATCCCCGCAAGAATGTTTTAATACTGCAAAGGTTTGTGAAATCAGATCTGCAGCGCTCACTCGCCTCAGTCCTGCGTCTGAACTGTGCATTACAAGCAGATCACAGTCCTCCATATACAACTCTCTCTGGCTTTACTGATGATTTAAAAAAATAAACAGTGCACGCTTATACAATAATGTATATATATATATAATATAATGCTGCAGCTGCAAAATATTTTGCAGAATATATTAACTACTGTACATATTATACAAAAGTGTTGTTGTCATGAAAAAGTTTTTGGAAAGAAGTGCAACTGCAATTCCACTGCCAGCTAATCCAAAATTCACAATGTTTGTAAATGAAATGTTTGTGTCCTTCATAAAAAATAGTGGGAAATTGATTATAATTGGTTGTCCCGTTCTTCTTAAAACACATTGATTTGAATACCTTTTATTGTGTTATGTTTGAAAACTTTATATTGTGAATGAAATGAAATCGTAGCCATGACAATAGAAGTGACAACAAAGTAACATCACGAAATGTTTGAGGTATAATGTGGTGATCTGACTACACTGGGCTCCAGTGCAAAAGGCTGTAATTAGGAAACTAATTCTTATATCTCAGCTTTCAGATGTTAATGCCATTGGGAAATAACATACGTACACTTCAGTGAAATGTGTTCACTGTAATCTCTCTAAATTCTTCTGGCTGACTCTTTCTAAAGAGCGCAGAACAAAACATTTCAGAGCAGCATATGTGCTTTCTCCTCAGGACGAATCGCTGGTGTTGTTGTTTCCCCAGTTCCTTTGAGAGAAGTGTCTATTAAATTAATAAATTAAAATATACAGTTCTGAATGAGCCTGAGAATTCATTAAGTTTGAAAGTGAGTTTATTCATAGACTGAATAATTGGTGTGGATATCCATTATGAACTCTGAGCCTAATTTCCTTTATCTTGACACTGGACAAAATGTGGCATTGGATAGTGGAACAAACATATATTTGTTATAATATAGTAATATGTTTGTATGTAGTATACAAAATATAGGCTAATATATTTTGAATAAACACACACAAACGTCTGTAGGCTACTTTAGTCTGAGATGAAGACTTTTGCTCTGTACTGCCACCAGGTGTTTTAAATGCATATTCACTCTGATTTTAATATGTTAAAAGTATCACCATCTGCTTTTTTTGCTTTAATCATATAGGCATTATAGACCAAACAGACAATAAGGATAATAATATTAGGTAACCACTATTAATATGTGAGTAAAGTTGATGCAATAGTAAAGATATTATACCTGAAAAAAATCTGAAAAATGCATCTTTCATATTATTATAAATTTAATGCATCATAAACACAGTGTTTTATGCTAAATTCCTGCCTTTGCTCATTACTGAATCAATTGTAGTTTTGATGTATTTGTATGTCAAGTCAAAGGTCAAACTAACAACACTGATCTTTTTTGCATGTATAAAATAACCTACAGTGTGCTGGGTTTCCATTTCTATGTCTGTTACAACATTTTCAATTGAAATAATCTTCAAAAAGACACATCACAAAAAAAGCAACATTTCCTCGACACTCTTTGATTTACTCAGTATGTCTACTGAAAATAGAGCAAAACAAAGCCATTCACCAATAAGATGCTGTGAATTCACAAACTGTTGTCCAATCCCAGGTCTAAAATTAACTCTCCAATCAAAAAAAGAAATGTCTGTTCTCTATATATACAAAAGACAAGCATACAGCCTATGGGCTTCCAGGAAGGAATAATCGTGTAAGTCAAAATACCCCAAGTCCTTGCTCTAATCTGCTCTATCCCTTTTATCTGGGGATTCGGAGCAGAGCGAGCAGAAAGTGCTTGAGAGAGACACAGAGATGCTGCGTGATTAACAGAGTCAAACCCATCCGGACAGTAGCTAGAACAGATAGCGCAGAAGATGTGCGCTCTGGGCTTGTGTGCTTTTGCGTCCAGCCGTGTGTTTCAGGTTTTTGCGCTGGTGCTGTGCTGCTTTCCATTGATTTGCAGCACCTGTCCTGCTCAATGTAGCTGCTTCTACCACAAACTGAGCGACGGATCGAAGTCAAGGTAAGATTTTACATGGACTGTCATTTACCTAAATGAAACCATCCTGTAGAAAAGTCTCATATGGACCATTGTCTGCAGAATATTGACAGGCCAGATTGACTGTGCTCTTTATTTAGTCGTTGGATTAACGTGTGTGTGATTTTTAATCTTCTCTGCTTGTAAATTGCAATGTTTCAGACACACACACACACACACACACACACACACACACACACACACACACACACAGTAAAGATAATAAACTACAATAAAAGCAAATGAATGAAATGAAAGCTAGTCAAAGAGAACTTTATCATAGCACTATATTGTAGCAATGTTGAGTACGATAATCTCAAAGTGGAGTTTTCTTACTTGACTGGCATTATCAAATATCTCAACAAAAGGAGACTGTGCTTGACCCGTGTGATGTGTTTTTATAGGAGCGTCCTGTGTAACGACCCCGACCTCGCTGTCATCCCAAACAACTTTCCCTCGGACACCTCCAAACTCCGCATCGAGAAAACCGCCATCAGCCGCATCGCCAGCGAATCCTTTCATTACCTCAGCAGTCTGGAGTACCTCTGGATATCCTTCAACTCGCTCTCCTCCCTCAGCGCAGACAGTTTCCGAGGACTTTACGCCTTGGACGAATTACGGATGGATGGGAATGTTCTCACTTCCTTTCCTTGGGAATGTTTGATGGACATGCCTAACCTTCGGCTCCTGGATTTGCACAATAATAAAATCAGCAGCATTCCAGCTGAAGCAACCATTTACATCCAAAACTTGACCTACCTGGATCTGTCCAGCAACAGTCTGGCCACCGTTCCAGCGGAGGTTCTTACTTCATGGTTCTCTCCGAAACCTCCTCAGGATGCAGAGATTTCCAAAATGATATTAGGTGAGTTAGTTTCTGCTCTTAACCCATTTCAGTTCTGTTGTAAAGTCTTAGTCATTGACAAATGAAGAAACGTTGACAAAAGCGTCTGTTCTTTGCGCAGGTCTCCACAACAATCCCTGGCAGTGTGACTGTCGTCTCTTTGATTTGGTGCAGTTCCAGAAGTTCCCTTCCTCCTCTGTGGCATTCATCGATACGTGTCTGTGCTGCGCCGAACCGGAGAGCCTGTCGGGAGTCCTGTTCTCTGATGCTGAGCTCCGCAAGTGTCAGGTTCCCCGCGTGCACACGGCCGTTGCGAGGATCCGCAGCTCCATCGGAAACAACGTCCTGCTGCGCGGCGGGACCATCGGCGTTCCCATCCCCGAGCTGTCCTGGACCCGAGCCGACCGCAAGCCCATGAACGGCACCGGTACGTGTGATGTTTGCATCTCATCTCATGTCTCCCTTGGTGTATTGCTACTGTTAAATAAAGCATCCAGGCATGGTTAATGCGTCTGTTAAATAAATTGAATCTGTTGCTTGTGTATTAAGAGAGCAGCAAATATATAAATAAAGCATGCAGGCGAAATTTGATGTAATTACTGTTATGTCTAACTGTACTGCACAGTTAGATGCAAAATGCAACTTCAGAACTTATATTAAAGTGAGTGTTTTTTGTTTGATGTTGTAGTTCAACAGGAAATCTCTAAAGAGGGCATCATCTGGTCCATTCTCAGCGTTCCTGCCGTTTCATACAGAGATTCAGGGAAATACATTTGCAGAGCCACTAACTTTGTCGGGAGTGCCGATGCCATTATCTCACTTGTCATTTCTGATACATGGCAAATCGACAAAGCGGTCACCAAGAGAAGTCACGGAAAGAAGAACGCTGGATTCGGCCGAGCGGCGTATCAAGAGAAACTCATCGCCAGATACGTGCCGCCGGCCACATCAGCTGCTGTGCCCATCATTGAGCCCCTAAACGGACCCAAAGCCACGTCATCCATCCAGATCGAAAGCTACAGCATTTCTGAAGGTGTTTCCAAAGCGAAGGCCACAGCGGCACCTGCAGCGGCCGCAGGAACGGACAGCGGCATGGCGGAGCTTCAGAAAGATGTCTTGAGTAACCTGGAGGCTAATGCGTCTTCTCTGCAGCAGGGTCCGGAGCGCAGAGTGGTTCGGTCGGTCAAAGTGATCGGTGACACGGACCACACGGTCTCGTTGAACTGGCGCGCACCCACCGCCACAAACACCACGTCCTTCAGCGTTCTGTACGCCGTCTTCGGGGAGCGGGACATGCGTCGGATTAATGTTGCCCCGGGCAAGAATCGCATCACGATCGAAGGCCTCGTTCCCAAAACCAAGTACATAGCCTGTGTGTGCGTGAAGGGCCTCGTCCCCAAGAAAGAGCAGTGTGTGATTTTCTCCACGGACGAGGCGGCCAGCGCCAGCGGCACACAGAAGCTCATTAACGTGGTGGTGATCACGGTCGCCTGCGTGATCGTGGTTCCTCTGACCCTCATCGTCTGCTGCGGGGCACTAAAGAGGAGGCTGCAGAAGCTGATGGGCCGGAAGTCCAAAGACATTCAAGACTCGTACGTGACGTTTGAGACTCTGTCTCCAGGCGCCAAAGGGCTGGAGGGGGAATATCTCAGCAGACTCATCCCAGACGAGTCCAACCGGCTGCTGTCGGCCCGCTCTAGTGTGGACTCTGAGGCCACGGCCAGAACCGAGGGCCAGCCCAACGAGTACTTCTGCTGACCAACCGGCGGCGTTTCAGACGACTCTGTGCCTAGTGCACTCTTGGTATGGGCCGGATTACACTTTTAATGTGTTCGAAAGCTTCAATACATATCAGCTTTGTCCTTTCTCAGCCCTGAAAGGGTACAAACCACCTTAGAGAAAGTCCGGTGTTCAAAAAGGGAAAATTATCACACAAGAGTGAAATAATAATGTCTGTATTTTTTATTTTTGTCATGCACTTTTCCAATGGTATGTTTATCATTGACTCATTTATCATACATATTCTGCAATGAAATGTCTGTGT